GTGTGTGTGTGTGTGTGTGTGTGTGTGTGTGTGTGTGTGTGTGTGTGTGTGTGTGTTGGCTGACATCTATTAGCTGTGGCGACCATGTTGGTTCCAAGACTTAATCAGTTGCAGATGTCCATCCAATGATYACTGTCTGCAAGTTTCCTTCAAATCTGTCCAGTTGTTCATCAGATATTTTGCTAACAGACACATGAACAAAAACTGCATTGATCACCTTTGCTTTTCAGCAGCAAGGGATATTTATTTACTAAGCCAAACGAAAAGTTCTAGTTTTAGTATTTCTCTACTTTTACAAACTGTGCATTTTAAAAAGTGAACATTAATTCTGACAAATTTAAAGGATTTTTGAAGTTTAACCTATAAGCTTACGCACAAACAAAACTGCTGGCTCCACAAAATGAAATTTCTTTATGCACTAATCGGATGTGAGATTCCATTGTTTCCAAAAACTTTTCAAAAATTTAGATCAGACTTTATACTTTTTGGAAGGTTAATCAGAATGTGTGGAGCTCAGTTTGTGCCGCTAGATGGCGCTTCGTCACAAATCCTGTGCATAATGTTTAATTAAAAATAAATATTTCACTGCACACATTCCTGGTCGATTGTTCTACCAATTTAATGTTGAGAGTATACTTACATTTCTTTAGTATTGTAGCATCTGAACTAAAGCGGTTTTAAAATATTCATTATTTCTAGATGTATTTATGATCTCAGACTGCTCTCAGTTTAGGTGTTTAACCAGCAGGATGTTGGTCTCCCTTATAACATTGAATTACAGGATTATGGGATAAGAGGGAYAGTCCATAATTGGCTGAATAGTTACTTGACTAACCGTAAACAGTTTGTACAACTAGGAAATATAAAATCAGATTTTCAAAGTATAAAATGTGGAGTTCCTCAGGGTTCAGTGTTAGGACCAAAGCTTTTTATTTTGTACAGTATATTAATGACATTTGTGAAGTATCTAAACAGCTAAAGTTTATCCTGTTTGCAGATGATACAAATTAATTTTGTTCTGGAAATGATCTAAAAAACCTTATGGAACAAATGACTAGTGAGATGTCTAAAATTAATGAGTGGCTAAAATACAATAAATTATCAATAAATTGGAATAAAACTAAATTCATGATTTTTAGTAACAAAAAAATAGATGGCTCTACTATAATGTCCATAGATGATAGTGGAACGAGTATATGAAGTTAAATTTTTAGGGGTTGTCTTGGATCATAAACTTAACTGGAAATATCATATAAAATATATTAAACAAAAAYTATGTAAAAGTATTGGACTCTTAAATAAAGTAAAAAATATTTTAGAACAACCAATACTCCATACATTATATCACTCATTTGTTGCTCCTTATATGACCTATTGTGTAGAGGTATGGGGCAACACATATAAGCCCAACACTAAACCTTTGTTTGTGTTACAGAAGAAAGTTATGAGAATTCTGTATAAAGTGAATGTTAGGGAACATACAAATACATTTTTTATTCAATCAAACATTTTGAAACTACAGGATTTAGTTAATTAAAAATTTTATTAGTTATGTTTAAAGCAGGAAAGACATTATTGCCAATTAATTTGCAAAAGTTTTTTGTCTTAAGTTCAAATGACAGAACTAACCGAAGAAAATATGATTTTAAAAGTAAAACTGTGCGTACTACTTTAAAGCAAATGTACATTTCGGTTTATGGGGTAAAATTATGGAATAGTTTGGATGACGATTTGAAAAAATGTTCTACTTTAAATCAATTTAAAATACTTTATGAGGAAAAAATTATTAAGTCTTACACACTTTTGAGTTAATGAGGAGAACAAAATATTATTTGCAGATTCTATTTGTGATTTAATGTATGTGGCCATGAAAAATAATTGTAATTATTGAGAAATGAGCAGGTTTATACAAGGATTTCTTCTTCCTGCTCCCTTTTCACTCATGTATAGTATGTGTTTAACGAAAATGTGTTTGCATGTTATGAGAAAAATTGTTGAATTGAGTGAATAACCTTATTGATTGGTTGAAATAATTTGGGTGAAAGTTATACTCTGTTCAGCTTAAAAAACACAAAAGACTACTTCTTTTTGAACTGTTTATTCACTACTGAGATTTGTGGTGATAAAAGATAAAACGCAAAACTGTTTTCTATTGCAAGTGACAAACATCACAAGTGACTAAGTTTGCAGTAGATATAATAGTGAAAAGTTGTCATTGCATCTGTAAATTAAATATTTTTGTACAAATATTACCAAGATTTGAACTGAAGAAAAACAACAAACACTTTTTACTGACTATATTTTCTTCAGCAGCTAACTTTAAAAGCCTCAGATGCAATTCTTTTCCAAATCCTGAGCGGATATGGTTCTCAAAGAGCGAGAGGACAGGAAGAGGGGAGGGAAGGGCATGGCAGAAGGATGAGGGGACAGACTGGGGGGCACAGAAATAATGGACGGAGTGTCGGAGAGCGAGCCGTAACCAGATTTCTGTAARCAAGCTGCACTGGAGTCAGCGGAGGCGTGAAAAAACACAGGTGGGTCCAAGGTATCCGAGTCTGCAAACAGAGGTGTCAGAGAATCAAGCCGAAAATCAAACTTCTTTCCCCACAAAGTCGCCCCCGTGTGTAAGGCCCCCCACCTGGGTCATCGTTGAGCTGGGCGTGCAGGTACTGCTGTTTGGTGTAGAACTTGTTGTAGATGCAGTAAACGGCGACCATCAGAGCGAAGGTCCCGACGGAGGCAGCGATGAAGAGGAATATCTTGGCGTTGTCTTTGTCATCTTGAGCATCTGCGAAGGCACACACTTAGAACAGATCTTCACAGGATGGATCCACAGCTCTGTTGAAGACCGGTTCGTTAAAAGAGACTTACATGTTTGTTGGGCGTTAAGGTGAGGGCTATCGTCTCTTATGAGGAGTTCTCGTACGTTTGGAGGAGGTGCAGCTGGACCCTGATGGACGCTGAGCTCCTGCTCCAACTGGAAAGGGTTCTGTGAGCTGCTCACTGGAAACATCAGCAGCAGACAAAGAGCTGCCAGGCCCCCCATGAGGATTGTCCACTGGAACAAACAATAACAAGCGCAATGAAACAAGACTTAGTTCTTCTTATTGGTGTATAGTTTCAAAAGTCACATATATTTATATATTTTTAGTTAAATCTGTTTTGTTATTCTAATACTGTTTCTCCAAATCATCCAGATACAATTTCTCAGTTGTAGTCTCCAAACATCATGGTCCTGCTTACAAAAAGACCCCTGAAATCTTTTCCCTCTAAAGCTTTCTTTCCCTCGAATCAAACAAACGTTTTAAACAGATCGAATATATTTACCTGAGGTTGTGGCAAAGATTGATTTTTACTCCGTGTCGGTTGTTTGTTCGCTCTGCCTCTCTGGCTGACTAAAGTGAGACCGGATCCAAGACAACTCAAGTCCCCAGACATGTAATTATCTCTAAGGAGACACCTGAGCAGTCCACTGTACCAGCAGGTACCATGTAGACAACAGCTGGTGGATATTCAGCTCTTACAGTGATTCGGGTGCTTTTAGAGGCTAGAAATTGGAAATCTTGTGAAGAAAAATGAAAAGATCAGAGTATTTTCATCTCTGTGACTTTGAGGTCAGCCCACAGAAAGGTTCAGCGTTGGCTGCTGATCTCCACGGCCTGATATTTGATCCTCTGAGTGTTCTGCTTTCAATCCCCTTCCAGTAACAGATCAGTGTTTTCCATTCCCAGACTCTTTGCCCAGAAACAGCCCCAACCGGTCAGCTGCCTCAGCAGAGGTCCAGATGGCCTCGGCGTTCAGGTTTCAGCCCACCTGCACATAGGAGCTGCAAGATTTAGACAAAACGAGACAAAGTGTTTCGAAGAAACAAGAAAAACACTCTCGATGCCGACGTGTGATTAGGYAAGTCGGAAGAAAAACAAGTTCTTATGGTGACTCTGCACGCAGATATTTACCTTTGGTTCGAGTCTTTCCCAAGCAGATAATGGTTCGGMTGAGCAGCAGGAGACACAGCAGGTGACAGAGGTGGGTTATGTTTGAGAACATGAGCTGAAATATAGAAATCCACCAGCCACCAGATTTAAAACTTTAAGGGAAGTTTGATGGGGGGGTAAAAAAAAAAAAAAACTTTCACCAGAAATGTGTGCATTTACAAAGAAAGTTTTCAGAGCTGAAACAAAATTAAAAAAAAAGAGGAAGCTGTTATATTTTCCTTTTCCTACAGCTAATGCTTGTAAATTCTGGAGTTATGACACGTCACTATTAACACAGGAAAATTGTAATTTCAAAATGAGACAAGAAAATAAGCTGGAAAAAAAAGTCTTTTTAAACAGAATTCATAAAGAAAATACAGAAAGGTGCACTTAAATGTTTTATTGAAAAAAAGTGACTTATTGTACGTWATTCTACAAAATGTTGTTCATTCAAAAAACAAACACATAGCACTTTGTTCTGAGCACAGGTAAAGTTGAAGGCACATTGAATAAAGTTGGCTCACTTTGACTAAATAAGTGAAAACAAATAAAAATGAAAGACTAACCCACAAAACAAACTGCAGCTGTAAAGATAATAAAAACTCTGAAACACAATTGTGTTTTTACAAAGTCAGCACATCAACTCACAATACTGAACTCATTTAGAAACAATAAGTCCTACACGCCCACCCAAAAGAAATWAAGTACATCAAGCTAATTGCTAATTAGCAACAAAATGAAGTAAAACATCAAATATTTGATAATTTACATGCATCATATACACATTTACAGGAGGATTTGAGTATTTTCACCAAATGATTGTAAATCAGGAGAAAGAACCAAATAAATAGATTTTGTTGAGATGCAAACTATTTCATGTAGCAACACACGCTCTCTTAGTAATGGCTCACATAACAATGACTCAACTTTTTATTTTTCTCCAGTGATCAACACTGATATTATTTGCTTGGGTAGCAGCAGCATTAACACTTCAGCTGACAGCTGGTTTTGAAACATGTAGTAAAGTTGAATCATTCCTGTTGGAACAGTCAATATTTACTGCACAGAAAATATTTAAGCCTGTTACGTTTAGCCAACATTCAGATACAATCCTTGGCAGTGACGTGCTGTTAAAAAACAAACAATAAAAGGTTTTAAAGCGAACAAATGGATGACACTTTTGGATTTTTTTAAGTCAGAAATATTTCTTTGTGTGTTTTCTTTAAAACGGATTCCATGTGAGTATTTAAAAATGAACCCACCATGATACAATTCACAGTTTTAAACAGTTTTGTTGATAGCAGCCCTTTGGGAAGTCCCTCCGTTCATCCACAGCCTAAAAGCAACACAGACCACAGCCTGGTACAAAAAGTGGGTTGGATTATGTGTTACGATCCAGCTTTTGTTAGCTCTGCTGCACTCTAACCAAAAACACCAAAGTTTGACTTGACCGTCCAACACTGTAACAATACATTTAAAAGACCTACAATTTAGGCACTAAAAAATGAAAAAGGGAAAGTAACAGAGTAGAAGCATGCTGTAGCATGTGAACATAAAGAACAGGAAGCTGTATGGTGTTCATGGTGGGATAAGAAATATAAAACCTTTTTAATTTGATGGAAAATAAAAACTCTGCATTAAATTCCACTTTGCAGTTTCCACAGAAATACCTAATATCGGGGTGTCCCAATACCAGTTGTTTCTCAAACCAAGTACGAGTACTTCAGTTTGAGTACCAGCCGATACCAGAGTACTTGCTGGTACTTAAAACTAGGGACGCACGATACATCGGCATTAATATCGATATCGGCCGATATTGGTCATTTTTTTAGAATATCGGTATCGGTCCGATACGTCAAACTGGGCCGATATTAACATCCGATATTTATTTCCCACTTTTTATCTTTGTGTTTCTGTTTTGGGAGGTGAGACGGTTGGTTGAGCAGCATCTGTTTGATCATGATAGTGATACTGATGCTGCGCAGCCAGGAATAACTGAAGTAGGAAGTCACGTCAGAGGTCTGGTTGTTTATTTACAGTATCAAAAAAGACCCAAGTGTGTTTGTGTGTATATGTATAATATAATTTGTTTGTGCTATATCAGTAAATATCGTTTAACGGTCATAACAGCACTAATTATATCGGATATCGATATCAGCTGAAATTTTCATATCGGTGCATCCCTACTTAAAACCTAAACATTACAGAATGACTTTATAAACACTTATAGGCCCACAGCCCCTCGGACTAGATCAAATCAAATACACAGCATCATATATACTGCTGCAACAGATTAAAATMAATAACAGATTTTTTTCTATCAACTTGTAAAACTTTCTTAAACATGGAACTGAAATATAAACTGTAAAACATTCGATGAAGTATCGACACCAGCAAACCGGTATAGAAACTGGTATCGGAGCACTTTGGGCGAGTATAAATACTTATAAAAATGCTGGTATCGGGACACCACTAATATTTTGTTCCAGATCTGTTTTTGCTTTGATGCAGAAAAGTTGTGTTTAGTGAAAAAACAATAAAATTTAGGAAAACTATTATCCTTGGGATATGCATGGATATAAGTTAAATTAAATTMTTTTTTTAAATATTAAAAAAATAAGCTTTTCACTCACATGTGTGGTAAAAGCTGAAGGACATCTGGTAAACTGGACCATTTAAATATTATTTTACTGCATGTTTCAGGTCATGTTTCACTTTATGCTGAATCCAGTGGTAAGGAATCAGAAACTGCAAACCCGTTTCTGTGATCCTGCTCTGACATGTCAGTCATCGGAGTTTCGTCTGTGTTTACGATGTTGTAGTGACCGGCCTCTGTGTCTCTGCTTCTTGGTTCTCTTCTGTCCTTCACGTAGGAGTAGATGAACCCCACAGGGACGGGCAGCATGGCAAATATGATCAGTAGAGACAGAACAGCCAGGGCCCAGCCAGGATAATCAACATTCACCTGGAAAAATACAAATCAAAAAATTACTACAACAACCAGTTCTCATTTATTGCATAAATACTTTAATGTGAAGGAGTGGACTTTTAAAAAAGCAAGGCACAACTTGTTAAATTTCATTGTGCACAAAAATCAAGAACTATTTGTTTTAATCAAGGCTCAACGTGTCTTGTGGTTGAACTGTCAGAAGAATTAAATCATGACGTAACAAAACAAACTGCATGATTCATCATACCAGTTCCTGGTTTTCCTGGTTCCAAGCCCTGTAGGTTGGAGTTTTTATAAACATGCGGATGACGGTCGCTCCAAGCAGCCCCAGCATAGCCAACAGGCAGACGTATTTCCACAGGTATTTATAAACGGCGTAGGGGCGCCAGCCCAGCATTGCCTCGATGTCGTCAAGAAATCTAGAGGAACAATGTTTCCATTTGAGACAAAGTTTAAAACCCGCCAGACATGCAGAGCGAGAAAAGAACACTGACCTGTCGGCTCCATAAAGCCACGACACGCTGAAGGTTTCAAACACCACAACAATGATGAGCGGAAGAGTCGCGGAGTAATCATCAAACATGGTGACAAAGTAGTTCCCACAGCGCTGCGTGAAGATGAGGCCGATCAGAAAGCCGATGACGCAGCTGACAACTGTATCAGCAAGGACAGAATTAGATATTTTGCTAACAGACACAAACAGTGGGTAAAATAAGTATTGAACATCAACATTTTTCTCAGTGAATATATTACTAGAGGTGCTAATGACAGGAAATTTTCACCAGATGTCGGTAACAACCCAAGTGATCCATACATACAAAGAAATCAAACCATAAATATCCAGAAATGAAGTTATTTGTAATAATRTGGAATGGCACAGGGAAAAAGTATTGAACACACTTACTGAAATTTATCTAATACTTTGTACAAAAGCCTTTGTTGTCAATGACAGCTTCAAGACGCCTCCTGTATGGAGAAACTAGTGGCATGCATTGCTCAGGTGTGATTTTGGCCCATTCTTCCACACAAACAGTCTTCAAATCTTGAAGGTTTCGTGGACCTCTTCTATGAACTCTGATCTTTAGTTCTTTCCATAGATTTTCTGTTGGATTCAGGTCAGGTGATTGACTGGGCCATTCCAGCAGCTTTAGTTTCTTTCTCTGAAACCAACTGAGAGTTTCCTTGGCTTTGTGTTTGGGCTCATTGTCTTGCTGAAATGTCCAGCCATGTTTCATCTTCATCATCCTGGTAGATGGAAGCAGATTTTTATCAAGAATGTCTCTGTACATTTTTCCACTCATCCTTCCTTCAATTATTTGAAGTTTGCCAGTACCATATGCTGAAAAACAGCCCCACACCATGATGTTCCCACCTCCAAACTTCACTGTTGGTATGGTGTTTTTGGSCTGATGTGCAGTGCCATTTGACCTCCAAACATGATGTGTATTCTGGCATCCAAACAGTTCAATGTTGGTCTCGTCTGACCAGACTATATTCTCCCAGTATTACACAGGCTTGTTTAAATGTTGTGCAGCAAACTTTAAAGGAGCTTCAACATGCTGTTTCTTCAGCAGTGGAGTCTTGCGTGGTGAGCGTGCATACAGGCCATGGTGGTTCAGTGCATTACTTATTGTTTTCTTTGAAACAAWCGTACCTGCTAATTCCAGGTCTTTCTGAAGCTCTCCACAAGTGGTCCTTGGCTCTTGGACAACTCTTCTGATAATTCTTTTCACTCCTCTGTCAGAAATCTTGTGAGGTGCACCTGGTCGTGGTCGGTTTATGGTGAAATAATGTTCTTTCCACTTCTGAATTATGGCCCCAACAGTGCTCACTGGAACCTTCAGAAGTTTAGACATTCTTCTGTAACCGATGCCATCATTATGCTTTGCAACAATAAGGBTGTGAAGGTCTTGAGAGAGCTCTTTACTTTTACCCATCATCAGATGGTTCTTGTGTGATACCTGGCCATCATTTGGGACTGAACCAGCTATTAACTTGCACTGACAAGGGGCAGGCTTGCTTTCTAATTACTGAGAGAGTTCAGCTGGTGTCTTGGCTTTCCATGCCTTTTTACACCTCCCTTTCTTCATGTGTTCAATCTTTTTCCCTGTGCCATTCCACATTATTACAAATAACTTCATTTCTTGACATTTATGGTTTGATTTCTTTGTATGTATGGTAGTGCTGTCCCGACTAGTCAATGTCACCGGTTACGTCGACTGCATAAATACGTCAACAGGCACAACATACCATCGACACGTCGTTTTACGTGAATACGTCGAAAGAGGAGAAGGCAAAGAAAATGGCGACACCCGGTCYGAGCAGTACACGTGAAGAAGACCCTGATGACAGAGTTCAGCCAAGGAAACGTCCAAAGACGTCGTAAGCGTTGAAGTATTTTAAAGCGAAAGAAAAGGGCTTGGTTGGTTGTTGACTCTGTAAAATGGAGTTAGTCTAGCATAGTAGCACTACTGCAATGAACGAACACCTTAAGCGCAAACATTCCGGTGTTCTGCTCGAAGATTAAGGCAGGAGGAAAAGTGCAGAATCATAAGTCCTATTATATTGCTTTTTGGCATTAACGTAATATATTAAGAATAATAACGTTGGCAGCAACAGTCTCTGTGGTACTTTCTGATTGTTAGCGTCGGTGTTGTCCTTGTCAGAGAAACTGAAACTTACACACTTCAGGCAGAAATGTTTGTACATGCATTGGGCAGTGTTGCTTTCACAAACAAAACAAAAAAAAACATTAAGGTGTTTCTTTTCCTCCACTTTCTCCTTGTTTACTGAGGAGTTTGCCATTAAAATCTTGACAACACCGTGATCTTACTCGATCAACAAAAAATAATCGTAAATGAATCAAAAAAAATAGTCGTTAGACTAATCAAGTAATCGTAAAAATAATCGTTAGATTAATTGAGAGAAAAATAATCGTTTAGGACAGCACTAATGTATGGATCACTTGGGTTGTTACCGACATCTGGTGAAAATTTCATGTCATTAGTACCTCTAGTAATATATTTACTGAGAAAAATGGTGACGTGTTCAATACTTTTTTTAACCTGCTGTAAATATACACACAGGTACAAAAAGCTTTTTACTTTTCAGCAGCGGGCAATAAAAAGAATTGTATACGATAAATACAATGTCTAAAAAATCTTAATAAAAACAAGTGTTTACCTGTGAGTTTGATCTTATTTTTAGCCAGACACTTGAAGCGGTCCCTGAGGGGGGCGAGGATGCCCTCCATGGTTCCAAACATGGTGCTCAGGCCCAGGTTGAGCAGCATAAGGAAGAAGATGGCAGACCAGAAAGGGCTTCCAGGCAGGAGGGTCATGGCCTCTGTGAAGGCGATGAAAGCCAGACCTGTCCCCTCAACACCCTAAACAGAAACAAAATCACCTTCTGTCATTTAACTGAGCGTGCTGAAGATTCTCTGTCATACAGGTCATGGTCAATCCAACGTCTTCAGCTTTAGAGTAGTTTTCCTTTTTTATTTTTTTTAACTGAACAGAAAGTTAAACACAGAATAAATCCTGAAAACAAGTTAGAAAAAGAGAATTTGTATTTATGGTATAATGAAAATGTAGTGGGAGTGCTGAGCTCTGAATTACTTTCATGAAGAAACTGAAACTTAGTTGTTAATACTAAAAGAATCAGAACAGTAGCTAAAAGAAACAAAATGCTAACTAAACACTTTAAAAAATAATGTTAGTTTGAAGCTAAACGTAGCAAAAAGGCTAACCAGATGCTACTAGTAGCAAAACAAATGGCAAGCAAAAACTAATAACAAAAAGCAAGCCTAAACTAAATGTTAGCCAAAAGCAGCAAAAGGCTAACTAAATACAAAGAGTAGCTAAAAAAGTTTAAACATAAAATAGCAGAATTGTAGTTAAAACAACTACGAAGAAGCAAATTTCAAAAGAGAACATTTTCGATGTTTTTGAATGCTGACTCAGCACTTGCACATCCTCACCTTCTGCATCTCTTTTTCCAGGTCACACTCAGTTAGATTCCATGGGTTCTCATTTCCACTCTGTTGAAACCACTCAGTGTAGACCTCAAGACTCACTGATTTGGGATCAGAGTAGTTGAAGTTGGGCATCAAGCTTGGATCCAAACTGAGCTCCGACAACTTCTTTACATTACTAAATGAAAAACAAAAGAAAATCTTTAAAYTTTTAAAGTGACTCTTGAGCTGAAAATGGGGGAGAACGACATTCTCAGCACAAACCTRAGCACGCATGCCATGACAATTTCTTTTGCACGAAAGCCGAGCACGGCAAACACCACCAGAGTGGCCAGCACAGACGTGAGGAAGTTTATGAAGGAGACGGTGAAGGCATCGCGATGGCAGTTGTTGTTCTTAGGGTTGTAGGACGAGTAGGCGATGATGGATCCAAAGCCGAGGCCCAGAGCAAAGAACACCTGTGTGGCTGCCTGCCGCCACACCTGCACATCTCCCCAGATTTCAAGCTGTAGACGCACGACGGAAATAAAAGGCGTGTCAGGGAAATGATTACATCTGCTCAACTCCATTCATTTTATCTGCGGATACCTTGGGGTAAAACATGTAGGCGATCCCTTCTGAAGCTCCGTCCAGCATAAATCCTCGCACCAGAAAGCAGAAAAGCACCACGTAAGGAAAGATGGAGGAGAAATACATCACCTGGGAAACAAGAACAAACTGATTATCTGAAAACTACCACTTCATTTAATATTCATAGCTCTTCATTCACATTACTGTTCCCACACAGACCAAAACCTCAAACCGACATCATCGGGTTCCGAAACAAATTAACATCAACATGAGCAGGACATGGAGCTGATAGTTGCCTGTTAAACTATTAATAACCTGCTAAACTAATAATAATAATAATAATAATAATAATAATAATAATAATAATCTTATATTAGTGCTTTTCGAGACCCTCAAAGACGCTTTACAATTTTCATGCACACACATTCACACACTGATGATAGTAAACTACACTGTAGCTACAGCTGGCCTGGGGTAGACTGACAGTGTCAGGAGGGTGAAGTGTCTTGCTCAAGGACACAACGACTGAACCGGCTGGACTGGGGATCGAACCGGTGATCTTCCGGTTCCAGGACAACTCCCCTAACCACTCCCCCACGGCCGCCCCCAAAGACTTTTTTTTTTGGTCCTGTTTTCCAAAAGTCAGACTTTTCCACAGTAAACTTTGTGTCTGAACAGGTTAAATATCAGATGTTCAGCCAAAACACAACATTTTAATGCACTCCTTTATTTTAGAGCAGTGAAAACTGTGCTGTTAATGTTTGCCTCCTATCTGTTATGATTTGTGAGTTTGTCCGGTAATCTGAGTGTTTCCAACGTGTGGAGCAACCAAATCCTGCTCCATTCAAGCTGGAAACATTTATTTTTAATAACACAATGGAATAATAAGTAACTTTAAATTTACTCAACTAAGCTTGACCAAGTTTATGAGGGAAAAAATATAAAACTATTAAATGAGTCGCAAAATCTTACAGCAAAGCAAATCTAATATATACGGAATATATATATTTAAAAAAATTTGTGGAAAAAAAGTTAGGATCAAATAAGTTCTAACTAATAACACAAATAACCTTACACAATTGTTTAGTTATTGCCCAATAATGAAGGTAAGAGATTTTGTTTTTGCCCATAAGAGTGCTTGTTTTTGTGTGTTAGTAAAATATTTTTAAGCACTAGATGATGTTTAATTAGCAAACACAAAAATTGCCATAATTCAGTCAGTCAGTTTAGCAAATATCGAGCTAAAATTTGATGTGGTAGTAACTGAAAGTCACTCACAACACTTAGCTTGAGTGTCTTTTTATCTTAAAAAGAATATAATAAATATCTTTTACAGATTCTGATCTATGACTAACACCTGAAACACTCAGCGCTGGTGAAAAAGTCTAACTTATAAAACAAGACAAAAAGTGGTCAGTCGGTCACTAGAAACAATATTTTTTCTGAACTCTGATTATTTTAATTTCCTTGTTTTTTATTGTTAGGCTGCTTCAGTTTCTCTGTAGTCGCTGTGAGTTTCAGTGAATGCCACCTTATACTGCACTTATGCTTTACTGCCTGTGGTGAACAGATCTGTACAGACTGAACTGAGGCATGTCTTTCTTACACAATACAGATGAAGAAAAACATTGAACACACATCAGGGGGTTTTAGACTTGATGTGGATCAGAGCTTTTTAAGCCGTAGATTCCATCATGTACAATAACTCTTAAATCCAGGTCATCATGTGACTTGGATTTTAACTAAGTTTCTAAAGTACAACAGAAATAAAAGTCACAGTTTGCAGTACAAATCAGGTGCTTCTCTCTGTGATTTGGTCTTCTTATTGTAAAGATTTTAGTAGTTTTTTTAAAGCATAGCTTATGCAAATTTTTCATGACATATCAGCAGAAAAATATAATGCTTACTTGGCCTACAAAGTTATTTTAAAAAGTACCAGCTTTTCTTATGAAAGAGACAAGAATCCCTCTATTAAACGCTAAATACCTTCACAGAAGACTTTATTCCGTTGAACATTCCCAGGCACACAATGGTCCACGCTGCAAACAGACAGCCGACAACATACGGGTTGAAGGAGCCCACCTCGTCGATCGAGTCTGTGATGTCCAGAGCTTTGCGGTACCAGAAATAAGACGTGGGAGAACTTTTCTCACATTCTGTCACTGATATGAAAAAAAAAGAAGCAAAAGTACAATCAGATGTCAGTCTCACAATAAATACACAGTYCTTATTAATAAATTAATAACTAATCAAATTTGTATTCTAATGTTTACCTGTTGTATTTCCCTGCACTGGACAGTTCTCCCAAGGCAACGGGGACTGGAACGAGTTCCCAAAATAGTAAAGACTCCATGCAAGGATCACATTGTAGTAGAGTGCCACAAAGAAACAAACCTGAGTGATAGAGCAGGACTCTGTTCAAGTAAGTGATATATACAGCTGTGCAGGTGCAACTATGTATTTTAACTAGCTTTACTCTTCATAAACTGCAGTGCAAGCATGCAGCTGCATGTTTTATATCTAAGGCACGATGACCTTTTGTAAAAAAAAAAAAAAAAAAAAAAAAAAAAAAAAAAAAAAAAAAAAA